GGCACCACTCAATATGGTGGTGCCATTTAGGCATCAACGAGACAGTAGTAATCATCATCATCTTATATGTTCTTTCCTATTAAAAATCAATCAGTCATAGAGTTCTGCCACTCCTAGGTGGAGAAATGAATCTCAGTTCTTTCTCTACCATGCTTCTTCCTGCATTTTACTGGCTTAGATTCATCTGAAAAACTACCTATCAACTGTGATCAAAGAAAGGGCACTTCTTTCTTCTCTGAGCTGATAGATCTTGTCTACTCACAAGAAGGAGACCTGTAAGAAAGCTGGAGAGGGACTGTTTACAAGACCATGTAGTGACAGGACAAGGGACAATGGCTTTAAACAGAAAGAGTGTAGGGTTAGATTAGATAGTAGGAAGAAATTTGTTGCTGTGAGGGTTGTGAGGCACTGTAACAGGTTGCCCAGAGAAACTGTGGGTGCCCCATCCCTGAAAGAGTTCAAAGCCAGGTTGGATGGGGCTTTGAGTAATCTTCTAGTGGAAAGTGTCCCTGCCCATGGCAGGGGGATTGGAACTAAATGATCTTTGAGGTCTCTTCCAATCAAAATCATTCTACAATTTAATGATAAGAAGGAGGACCAAGTCTCCAGCATTCACAGGCTAGCAGAGTAATGATGGTGAGACCAAAGAAACCACTGTGTCTTGCCCACACTCTCCTCTGGAATTTTCTCAAACCAGTTGAAAGATCAGCCATGGTAAGGCCCAGTCAAAGCAAAAATAGGGGTAGTAACATACTGAGGGTACATGCAATCACACCCTTTAATTACTTTGTTCAGCAGTGTCTCCAACTTGAAAGCCACAAGTCACTTGAGAGTCTTTTTTTGCAAGTAAACAAACAGTATCAACTACTTCCAGTCATAGCCTAGCCCCCTCAGCATTTATGACGAAGGACATTTGGGAGCCAAAGCAAGCAAACATTATGATTCATTTATCCCACAGCTTAGCAGATGGATAAATAAACCCTTTATAACCAAGGCAGAACAGGACCTCTACAGCTTTAAATGAATAGCACCATTTAAGCTTCATGAGACAGAAGCACTGGCAATGCCTCATTATCCACAAAGGAATCAAGATGTGCATTTCCATGAAATTTATGTACTTATAAGGGCACAACCCAAAAGATGACAAACTAGTAAAAACAGTGAGAGAGAACCTTCACTTCTTATCAGGACTGAGATACTGACCTTTTCAACATGTTACAAAGGAGTTTGCTGTTTACACCTGAAGTCATTGTCAGGTCCTGGGACAATTTAGACTGGGGCAAAAACTTAAAATGGGTAGAAGGGACACACCACTATAAGAGCCAAACTATATTTGCAGTTAAAGATTCAAAAATGGATGAATTTTCCAAGCTCTAACAAGTGAGCTTGGTTCCGCATGAGTTTTCAGAAGTTTCCTCATTATTATTACTATTATTATTATTATTATTAGTGCCTGGCTGAAGAATTTCAGGAAGATAATATGCTCTTCTTGAAAACTGACTGGAGTTATATTTCAGTTGCTTTATTAAGCTCTTTACATTGTGTATACTAGGTAATGTATAGACTGATAGAGACTGTGATTTCCAGTGCAATGAGCACACTAAAACAGAATATATATATACATATATGTATATAAGTGGTTTTCTTATCAATGACATGAGTTTGTCCACTGGAAGCAAGCTAGTTTATGATATTTCCTTTCCTATGTAACTGTTTTTTCCAGTTTTCTGCTGTAGCCCAGCAGAGCCAGGAAGGAGCAGGCAGACACTGTCAGCCATGGGAGCTGATCTGGCTGAGTGCTGGGGAAAGGGTGACAGGCCCCAGCTCACCTGCAGTCACTCAGCAGACTTCCTCCTGGTCCCAGCAGGGCTCTTGGACTTCAGCCATGCACACAGGACAGCTCGTTCTTTTCTTCCTCTAATAGCTGTGGCACTTCATGACCACACAACCTGTGAGCCACAAATGTTTTTCCAAGGCACCAGCTAGATATTTTCAGCCTCTCTCTTATGTTGGATTCCACAATATGTACCTTTGGGCCTGCCTCTCAACCTCTTATAGTATTTTCATTCAGTGCAAGCCTGTGCTTGCTCTGCACAGAGCTGCCAGCATTAAAGTCATTCACCAAGAAAGTCCAGCAGCTTTGACTACATGACAAGGTGTCTCTGGGCTTTAGACTGATTCTTTTTGTAACCTCTCAGATAACCCGAAATCCAATGATCCACAACCAGTCATTCCTTTATCCATGAATCCATGCAGAATATATTAATCTCACTTTGTCTTAAACTGGTGGAAAAAGACAGACACCTCTGAAATGCAACTTATCCCATTTATTTTAGGGACCAGAGAGAAGTCTTTCTCCACTGAGTGGAGAGGAAACATCAGTGGCTATCTTGGATTATCTCTATTCCTTTAGGGTTTGTGAAGGCTGGATGAGAGGTACCCCACCCTAGGCTATACTAGCTGCAAGGTTATGGATAGGAAGTTCTCAGCTCCAAAACATAAGAACTATTTTTTGCTTTTTTTTTTGCCCTGCTGGACCTGTTGCTTTACAGACTTGAGGCAGAATAATCATAAAATCTTTAATTAGCTGTTCATACCTAAACCACTATTCCTGGCATATTTCAACAAGGACGTCCTCATCCTCCTGCATGCATGCCTTCCCTCCCTAGCTACTAGAATTAAAAATGTAACTTTCTTGTCTTGATCAGTGAAGATCAACTCTGTGTGCAGGTCAGCCCTTGTTTTCACTTGCTCCCACATTTATTTAAGGGTTTTGTTTGGGAACCAGTGGATGAAATTATTTGGTGCTCTTCACATTATATTTAGGTTCAGTCTGGGTGCTACTATGATCAAACATCAGTTATGCCACCTATTTAGATGGATAAATGACATCAAGATCACACACATTGAAAACTAGAAAATAGTTGTTAACTCAATTCGTGTTTCCTGAAAATAACTTTTGCACAAGAAGCCTCTATACTGGATGCTAACTCATGCCAAGACCACGGTACACCAGTTTTTTCCTCTCTGTAGGTGTGCCTCTGAAGTTGTTGCAGACAGACTAGCTCTCTGGAAAATGCTATAAACCCACACAGTCCCAGGAACGAGGTGACCTTGTCCTCATTACATCCATAATTTTTCCAAAGAGAAACTTTGTTGTGCAGAGCTCTGAATCCTTGATGTTCCCTAATACTGTACTTCTTTTCAGGTTTGGGAAAGAGCTGCCATCCTCAAAGAGACATCTCATATCTCACATCTCTCTTCCCATTCAACTCACACACCAGCATTTTGGTTTATTTGTTTACCAGTTTTCCACGTAACATTTTCAAAACCTAGATAAACCATGTTGCCTTTGTGTATAAAGATGCAAATCAGTGTAAAGCATTTACATTATGTAGGTCACTTGTTCAAATCTATCTGTAAAATATTTACATTGTGTAGTTCACCTGAAGACATCTACTTATGAGGAAAGCCGTCATAATATTATACTAGTAGTCCGAGAATCAAATATCACTTCATAAAAGAAAAGCCTACTCTTCACACTTGCATCCACCTTTTTCCCATCTGCCCATATAACACTTGTAGTCTTTATCATCTTCCAAATTCTACACTTGGAAGCAGTGAGTCCTGTGGTGTTCTCTGGATGCCCTTGACCTAGACTGCGTCAGAACTCTAATCTCTGTGCCTGTATCTTCACAACAAGCATTTAGAGTATTTAAAGGGAGGCTTTGGTCGTAATCTCATTACATATGAATGTTCTTGCTAATAGAGTGAAGATTTCTCAACTCAAGCCACATCCTACTCTTCAAAATCCTTCCAGATATTTATTGGGCCAAATTTAGAGCCAACTAGAAGTGGTGATGGAAAGGAATAAGGTCATGGTCTGTCCCAGATGGATGTGAGCCATTCACTTCTCTAGTGTGATAAAATTTGGTTTTTGGAGTCAAAGTTTTTCCTGATTTTTTTTTCCTACAGAGTTTGAAAATCCTCTGGGATGATTTACATGAACAAAAAGCTTTATCTTTGGTGTCTGTGAGAGATGTTGGTATTATTTTAGTATTGGTAGAGGGAGAGGTGTTGATGCAGTTATGGATCTGTACTAATCTAGGCCTTAATGCAGGTTCTCTTCCCTCTGATATAGATGAAGATAATGCACATTATATATCATGTAACGATTTCTCAGCTGTCATGAGTGGTATCTCTTTGAGGAGGACAAGAGGAAGTAACCAAATAATTTTACTCATTCTGACTCTCAAAGTACAACATGGTCACTGATTATTTATTGCTCCCTTATGATTTATGTCAAGACTAGAATCCAGCTAGGTTAACGTAACAGGCAGTGTTTTGCATCCTCTGTAACCAATTTGCATACTGCAATTTAAAGGACACAATCTGAAGCTACACCAGACTGGTCACAAAAGGGCTGGAGGAACAAAAGTGTGAGACTGTTCATTATTACTGGCAATCTGTCCAGTCACTTCCAGGAATAAAACTTTTTATTAGCCAAATCACTCCCAAAACATTTAAACGTCCCTCCAATTCTTTCCTTGGCAAAGATGAGAACATGTTACAGCCGCTTATGAATCTCTAGCTACAACATATTGGTAGATAAAATAGAACTGAATTCCTCTGTGTACAGTTATCTTTTATATAGATAGAGTTATCTCTGGGGGAGGGATATTCTGACAGTCTATTTAAGCAATGTGTAATCCAAATGGTGAACAAATTTAGTTTTTCTGTGGAGAAGTTCATAGATATACAGTTGCCATGACAACTGCATTTGGCTCTGAAAAGGGAAAACAAATGTCTCTTTTTAGACTCAAGTGAAATAAATTTAGTCTGGTTGCATATAAAAATTGCTTTTTCCCTCTAGTGTCAAATAGTCCTTCTGCAGCAAGCTTCCTTAGCTTCCCTTTTTAGATTTTAGGGGTTTCTTTTCCTTTAAAAAAAAAAAAAAAAAAAAAAGAACAGTACATCTGTTGGAATTACAAAGGGTGAGAGCACCTCCCTCTCCCTACCCTTCCCATATCCACAACATGATTTTGTGTTCCAAAATTCTACAGATGGCACCCTAGTTACAAATAGAACCAAATTTCCTGCATCTATGCAGCATAAAAATGCAAACTTATATTCTTAACTTCATCAGATCACAGAAGACTGGGAAAAGTGGGAAAGAGCTGTTATTATTGGTCTGTTGGGAATGAAGTATATCAGGTCTGAAATGCTCGCTGTGTCTGATGTAAAGATAGCCAGGGTGATTTTTTGGTTCTGTTGGTAGTTGGAGAACCCAAGTGGATTTTAAACCTTTGGTACTGTATATCCTTTATCAGATCTACTCTTCCAGCACTTGTGCATGCATATCCCTCCCACGATCAAACAGGCGAGAGCAACAGGAATCATTGCAATGTACCAGGACAGACCAACAGCTGGAAAAGTAAACAAATTAAATATTAGAAAACCAGAAAAAAAACAATGAACTCCCAGGAACACAGTTCTCTAAGCTCAAGTTGGAAGAGGAGAAATGACGGTAGAAAGGATGTCTGCAAGTTAACCTTCCAGCAGGGCTTATGACCTTTGAAAGGAAGAGATCTATTGATTGAGCACTCTGGGAAATGTGTTCATGAAGATAGGAGGAAGGATTGGAAAACAACAGAGAGTGAGAATTTAAAGTTCAATCTTTTGCATACACCCCATTTTCTGAACCCCTGATCAGGAGCAGCTGTGTGCTTTCTATCTTGGTTTATTTAAAGCAGAGACATTCCAAGCAGGAAATCCAAGCACCTTGTGGAGCATGAATACTCAACAATTAGTCCACCCTCAAGTTGCGTGAATAATTTTTTCCTACAGAGCAGCTTATAAATTAGTAACAATCGACCCAAGACTCAGAACTTCTTCCTAAATCTGGCTAATTTCCAAGGCAAGTGTCTGTCCAGGCCATTCTGGATTATTCCAATGCATATTGCCTCCTGGTGCAGCTCATGGAAGACAAGGGCAGCCCATGATCCAGCAAAATGAGTACAAATCCCTCATCATAGGGTGCTGGAGTGAGTCATAACTGATAATGAAGTCTGAAAGAGTTCATGTGCCTTTCTAAGACAGTGTGAGCAAGCTTTGGTGATTCACCAACGTCATACAAAGAAACAATTAGCATTGCTTCACATTGTTTGTACAGCTGGCTCTTGGCCAATGGTTTTCCACACTGCAACATTAATTGCACCGAGTTTAAGTCTTCTCTTCCCATTACCAGAAGCCAAAGTAACAACACCCATCATAATTTACACTTCTTGTTGTTTTGGCAGCAGTCTGTGCATGAGGAAAAGTAACACTCTAATAATTCATTCTGTTGTTGTCTTTTTTTCTTCCCTACTTGTTAAGGAACTGGAGGAGATTTGGCTCTACTGCAAAGAGAGTTTGCCACTAGTCTCACTGGAGCACTTATTTCACGAAGTGTACCTAAATTGGAGTCTTATTCAATAAAGAGATATCCCAGCACAGACAGATCCTTATCCCTGCATAAAATGTCAGTAAATGACCTACAGAAGGTGAATTTTGTGAACGGGCTGTATCAAAGACTACAGGTGAAAGAGGCAACCAGATTTTCCGCAGGCAGTAATTTATCCCAACACTAGCTCTTACAGTACAAACAGATCAGATGCTAATTTAGCATTAGAATAATAATAAAAATTATCAAAAATAAGCAGTAAAAATAACTACCTTCCTGCTTGACCCTTGTTGGCAGTTCTTGGTATCCATATCTGTTCTGGGCCAGACAGGTAAAGTCTGTGTAAAAGTCCACTTCTTCAACAGAATCAAAAATCAGTGGTACTTCAATGAAGTTTTCACCATTTTCTACAATTTCTCTGGAAGAATAATAAAGATTAAGTGTTAATTATTTTAATAAGATGGTTTTTCTCTATTTGATATGTTCATTCTAACAGCACATTGCAAGAAAATGCATTGGATATTGCTTCATTTCTGAACCAGCCTCTCAGCATTCAAGGATGCCTGTTGTCTTCAGCCCAGTTGTGCTACTTGAGTCCCAGTGGGCAGTACCTATCTTGCAACTTTTGGAGTCTAGAGGGAAAAAAATACCTGGATTTGTCTTGCAAAAATAAAGAAAGGGGAGGGGGAAAAGGCAAGTGGAATTCTGTGTATCTTTGATACATTAGCATTGGGCAAGGACCTAGTTCCTTCTCTCTGACCACCTAAAGTTAATTCTTACAATCAGCAAAGGACATATGAAAAACATAACCCTGTAAATGTTCTCTGAGAAAACTGAACCACCATTCCTGTCTATCATGTGCTCAAAGCCAATAGCTCAATGCAAGAAACTGTCCAAGAAGTTTCCAGCTAATTTCAACATGATTATTTTAGGAGTCCCACTATTTGAAAGTGGTTTTTTAGCTGGAGTCAAACATTGCCCCTTGATACCTTTTAGCCATTACCAGAGCAGTTGTCCATTATAAGCCTGCAATGAACAGCAGCAATGGAATTCCCTGGGTGCTCCTTCCAGGAGCTCTTTGACATAGATTTCTGCAGGGAATTTGTTTTCCCAGGGGCATTTGAGCTATTTTGTCATGCTGCCATAATGAGGGCTTCCAACAGAACTGGGGTATCTCACACACCGTGGGTCCTGCAGGAACCTCATCTGTCACTGTCAGTGTCCTTGTGCAATTGCATTATAATATACAACAGCAATAATGATAGTGGTAAGCATAACAAAAATAATTTTTTTGTTTGTCCAAGTAAGAAAGTTCTGCTCTATTCTAAAGCCTGCAGAGACTATAGCTGCAGCACATTTTTATGGTTCCTGGCCACAAGTTCAATGCATTTTCACTTATCCATATAAACAAGATTATAAATTAATATCCCCAGTCATGCTGTGGGGAATGGGAAAACCCCTAAAGGCTTGGGCATACAACTGAGTTCCTATGTTACCTCTGGCTGCAGCATGGCCAGGCTGTTATCTGGCACTGGTGGCCACAAACTGCCAAAACCATCTCACATCCATAACAGTTAAACATTCTTGTCCATCAAAATACAGATGCCACATCCCCAAACTCTGTTGGAAATGGCCCCTAGCCCATGCTAAACCCTAATCAATAACCAGAAACCCTTTGGGAGGATGCTAGCTGGTGTGTGACCAGTTTAGCAAGTAACAGCAGAGGCAATGGCATCCCAGATCCAAGGAACCTTCTGGGCTCTGTCCACCAGTACAGGCAGAGCCACTAGGCAAGGGTAATGATCTTTTTGGACACTCTAAGCTACATGAAACAATAAACAAAACAAGCTGATTGGTCCTTAGTGAAGAGATTTCAGTCAGAAAGTTCAGCTCACATTTACAAAACCACTAGAGGTGTGCCTGGATGTAGTGAGTTACTCAGGTAACACATCACAGGTACAGAAAGCAGGTATCCTTCCCTTTCCTAGTGGTAAAAGCCTTGAGGTATGTAGCTATGAGACAGCTGAAAGACAGCTCTTCAAGACTGGGAGACACAATGAATCAGGGCAAGAGGATGTGGAACATCCTGTTTCTCCCTCCCACCAATATTCCCTTCAGTGCTACCCTAGCACCTGTTCTAGCACTCAGCGGGTTCTGAGTGAGTCAGTTTAACTCACTAATGTGGAAAAGAACAAGATTAGGGGGGAAATAGTGCTATTTAGGGAAAAAAAAAAAAAAAAACAGAACAAAAAAAAAAAACCAAAACATCAAACCACTAGGTAATTTTCTGTTGTCTTAGTGTATTCTGAGAACCTCATGAATGTGAGGGAGAGAATGTTGCCACTTTGCTGGCATGGGGTAAGGAGAGAGGTAAGAGAAGCCCTGGGAAGGATCAAGTCTCCCTGCTTTCCACTGCAGTCAGCCCTCACAACAGCTCAGTTGCTCATGAAAATGTGTTTAAGGTTTGTCTCAAAGTTGCCTCATTTGCAAAATACCATGTCACAAAAAACAGAGATAAAGCATTTATTTCACTGACTGGGTTGGGCTTGGGGGTTTTTTGCTTGTCTGCCTTTTTTTTCCTTCAGCTCTCACCTTCACTTCAGATCTGTCCATTTCCCATTTCATTACCTGGCATTCATCTGCACTGAGAGCCCCTGTAGCACTGCAGGTTAGAACAATAAGCACAAGGAAGCACTTTCAGCCAGACTTACTGTCGTTCCCCCTCTGTAACTCTGCTTTGTTTATAAACCACGTCAACGCTGCTGTCATTTGCCAGCCATTCCACATCAGTTTGGAAATGGCTGCCCAGCCCAACAAACACTTTGCATGGGAGAGTCATCTTGGAGCCTGTCAAAAAAAAAAAAAAAAAAAGAAAAAGATTGAAAAACAATTTAGACACATATGAAGAACTACTCTTTCTTTTGGTGAAAGCCAACAACTCCAGGGGGAGATCTCACACAAGTCAAGAACCACTACTTTCAAAACTGAAGTTAATCTCCAGATTGCTTTTGATCCCCTGCTCCTTGGCAGCAAGACCCTTCAGTGCAGCAGTCCTTTCTGCTGCTAACCAAATAATTTCCCTATTGCAACACTTACCAACTCTGGCACTAAACACATGCCCCAGAGGCAAGGCTGTGTCCCTGTGGCCTTGCCCTTTCTGACACAGTGCAAAGGGCGCTGTGTGATTTACCCCTCTGGAGCAGCTGCATTAACCAGCAGCACAGCTTCACTCACACATGCTCTGAGTGAGGACATTCAGCTGAAGGTTGGACCTCCAGGGATAAAGTGATTTTGCAGAAGTTCTGAAATTTTTAATTGCTATAATTACTGTAACTCAAGGATAAAGAGATTTCAGACTGATGTGTTTCTATATTTTACAGAAGTATAGCTATATACCCAGAAGACAGCACCTGGTTGTAGATGTTAAAAAGCAAAGAATACTCTAGAACCAACCCTCAACTAATATAATTGAAATCAAAAACCTACAGCAATTTATGCCAACCAATTACACCATAAGAGGGCCTGCTCTAGTTTTTCTCTGACTAAACGTTTCCAAATATGATGTTGGGTCTTACCAAGAGCAGCTGATGTTGTCTTTTGGGCTGGATACACAATTATCGGGGTAATTCTCTTCTCTTGTTCTTGGCAGAAAAAGAGAACAGAGTCAATGCTAAGACAAGAGAAAATGCGGGCATGGCCCCAGAACCAGAAACATGCCACTTCAGCCAATATCTGTCGTCTCCTAGGAAAGGATTTGATTGCTAAAGCCGCTGGCAAGCAGCGATATTGCCGCTCCGAGCTGGAGCCCCGCGGCTGCCGGGCCGGGCAGGGTCCCCCAGTGCCTCGGGGACGGCGTGAGGCCTGCGCGGCACGGGCGCCCCCTGCCGGCCGCTCTGCACAGCAGCGCGCCGGGCCCCGCCGCCGTCCCCGCGCTGTGGCACAGCGGCCTGTCCTCGTCTGTGACACACGGCCTGTCCCCTCGCTGTGGCACAGCGGCCTGTCCTCGTCTGTGACACACGGCCTGTCCCCTCGCTGTGGCACAGCGGCCTGTCCTCGTCTGTGACAGACGGCCTGTCCCCTCGCTGTTACACAGCGGCCTGTCCCCTCGCTGTGGCACAGCGGCCTGTCCTCGTCTGTGACACACGGCCTGTCCCCTCGCTGTGGCACAGCGGCCTGTCCCCGCGCTGGGACGCCGCCAAATGGCTGATCTCCGAGCTCCCCCGAAGGCCTCGGCAGTGACACGGCCCCTTCTGCCCCCAAGAGATCAATTATTCCGTTTAACAAACACGGGCACTTGCAGGAGAGATCCCCACCCTGCCGGGAGTGCTGTGGGAGCCCCTTCAGGGCCAGGACAAGCACTCCCTTGGCACGGCTGAAAGGCTGAGCATGAGGTCCTCTCAAGAGTTTCATTAGCAAAGAAGAGGTTTTCTTATGTGTTGTAATGGTTTCATATGGCCATCATTGAATCATAGAGCCACAGAATCTTTTAGGTTGGAAGGAACCTTAAATGTCCCTAAAACCTTTCCTAAAGGTTTCCTAGGACCACTAGTTCCAACCCTCCTGCCATGGGCATGGACACTTTCCTCAAGACCAGGTTGCTGAAATCCCCATCCAACCTGGCCTTGAACACTTCCAGGGAGCAGGGATGAGGGAATCCACAACTTCTCTGGGCAACCTGTGCCAGTGCTCCACTACCCTCACAGTAAAAACTTCCTCCTAATAGCTAATCTCAACCTGCCCTTTCAGTTTGGAGCCATTTGTCCTTGTCCTGTCACCTCATGCTCTTGTAAGAAGTCTATCCCCATTTTTCTTACAAGTCCCCTTCAGGTATTGGTAGGCCACAATTCACATGGAAGTCTTCTCTTTTCCAGGCTGAATAAACCCAATTCTCTCAGCCTTTCCTTGTAGGAGAGGAAATCCATCCCTCGGATCATCTGATACTATTCTTACCAACAGCCTCCAGTTGAATTGTCCTGGTGATTTCATACTCCACACCTTCAAATGGAAATGACATCTTGCAGGTGTAATACCCTGCATCTGTTGGTAGCACAGATGTCATGATCAGAGACGCTGAACCATTCAGAATGATGAATCTTTCATTGTCCTCTTCCAAAGGCTGAGCATCCTGGAGAAAAGACAGTAACTGGTGTTATGACTCAGATAGCTACACCCTAATTATCTATTGAGAGAGACAAATTATCTCTGTCTCTCTGTTATTAGAAGTTCGCTTATCGCTGCAAAATCTGAGCGGTTCTGCTTTCCCACCAAAGCACAAGTTCTTTTAATGTGTATCCATCTCTAAAATGTCTTGTGGCACTATATGTGTGAAGTGTGAAGAATTGCTATTTTAATCTATCTATAATTTGTGTGCATAGTTCTTCCATAGTGCACATTTTAAGATGGAAAACATATAATAGGCTCATCCTTGAGTCATCTTAGAGCAATCACACAAGATTTTAGTACCCATGGAGTTTTTCACAATGTTATCCATACGTATCCATGTGTATGTATCCATACTTCCCATACATGACCACAGAAGAGTAATATTCTAAGGCATTCTTTGAAGACAAATACTGTAATCATGCAGGATTTCACATAACTGTTACTTGCCCCATAAATTATTAGAAATTCCTGCTCTGTATCCCTAAGGCTCTGTTCATACACAGTCTGGAGACCTGCTAGGAGAAATGTTCTCCCTCATGAAGGCAGGGTAGCTCTTTCTTACATTTGTAACAAAATCCATATTGAGGAGGGCAGCCTCTCACTTAGAAAAAGTGGGTTATATTCCACTTCTGAAGGGAGTCTTGAGCAGCAACATTTTGCTGGTATAGTACAGATCATAACCTAGGCACTGCAAGCCAGCCTGTATATTGCATCCTATGGTAAGGCTACAGCTGCACAAGGCAGAGCATGTGATCACAGTGGGAGTGTAAATAAAAGCTAAACTGAGGTATTATGGAAATGCAAGAAGAATCCCCTGCTCTCCAGTGTGAAATTGAACAGCCAAGGATGTTGTATTTGGTCTTAGTGTCAAAACCAGTCTTGCCTACTTGAAAAGCAGCAAACTGGGCAGTTAGGCAAGAGAACACTCCAGGCATTATGTAATTCATCCACTATTTCCAAATGGTGTATTCCAGTTGATTAATGAAAACTACCCCACCTGAACACGGAGGCAGTATCCCTGGTAGGTCCTACTTTATGGGATTCACTAGAGGGGCCATGAAAAGATGCACAGTGCCAAAGAGAAGGGCCTGATATGAGGTGGCAAACCCTGGAGTTGGGTAAATAATCTAGCCTTATAAACAGTTGCACTGCTTGTGAGAGCATGAAACATGTGAAACACTTCACCCTGTGCTGAGTGTGCCCCAGAAAACTTTTCTTAAAATGTATACATCTGCCCCAAAATTCCCAGTATATTACACTATGCTAGTGACTTAAGCAACATGATATTCAAGAGAAACCTTAAGTGAATATTTATGTGCCAAGCTGGGATGAGGCTATGCACAAAGAGGAAGTAAATGTTCTACCTTGTACCACTTGAGCTCCAGGCTTGTCCTATTTGGTGTAAAATCCCACAGATCAGGACAAACAATCTTTCCAGCGGTGAAAGTGAAGAGGACCTGGGGATAGGCAATCTCCCAAGCAGCTGTTTTCTCCACAACTGTGAGGTGGATTGAGACCTCAGCACAGTACGAGTTGTTCCTGGTGACAAAGCAGGGAGAGGTGAGTCCCCAAGAGAACTCAAATGACACCCTTGGTTTCCTCCTGGCTCCATTTCCCTCCTTAACAGAGGCCAAGACTGAGATCACACCAGGCTGGATGTTGGAAAATCACTGGTACTGTTCTTTTGGCACAATCAAAACATGTTGCTGACACATATCTGCCTCAGACCTTCAGTCTTTTCCTTTTTTAGTACAAGTTTCCTGTGCACCTTTAGGCTGCAGCATGATTTTAACTGTGTGAGGAGGGGGAACATGTTAACCTGAACAGTAGCAGATGTGTCATGAACCCTCCCCCATTTCCTTGGAAGAGGTTTTGACTGTGAAAACCCTAATGATTAAATAAAAAGCTTAAAGCATGTACTATGATACATCTGCAGTTACTATTGCACAACCATAGACATTTCTGCAAGTACATATAATTTTCTGTAGCAAATAAGGCGTTCTGGCTTTGAAAGTTTTGCAATATTCAACTTTTCTTTCTGGCCCCAACTGACAATCACTTCCAGTCCTAAGGAAGACCACTCTGGGAAAGACAGATGCTTAAATTCCACTCTTTACAACCTCTGGAAGCCTGCTTCAGAGATGCCTTTACTCAGGGCAGTGCATGATCCTGGAAGGGGCCAGTGAAGCCAAGGAGGCTGGGCTGCCACCTCCAGGAGAGCAGCTGTGGGCTGCAAGCAGACAGACTGACACTGTTGCCAGGGCACTGTGGCCATCTGTCATATACAGGCCGGATGCCCAAATCCAAAATATTTGCTCCACAGAACACAGAAGCAGAGATCTGTGATAGTTTGCTGCTACCTTCAAATATAAAAAGATCTGCTGGCTTCCCTGCAGGATAATTTGTAAAGGAAATGTAACTTGCTTGTGCTTTATTAATCCTGTAATAATGTTAGCAATGAATTTACCTATTTGGGGCTTACATGTCTTTTTCAAACAAACTTCACAGCATTTTGCTAGATCTCTCAGGAACACTGCTATGGTGCTATATATTGACAAAGTGAGGCAGAATAGTCCAAAAGGGTTTTTAAAAGCACTCTTGAACATCTCAGGCAACTACTCTGTTCTAAAACAGTATTTGCAACCTTTTGCTGTTTGGGCTTCACTATCAGTGTCTTCTCTTCTGCTCCACAACTGAAATTGCTGCTGAGACATGGGAAAAGGCCAACCCAACATGCTGAACATGATTTCTCAACTTGTCCATCTCTTCTACTGCTGACTTGCATTCCTCACAAGGTGTGCTGTGCAAGCAAGGAGACCATGCTATCCACAAGCAGCTCCAGGAATGTAGAGATATGTTCTCCAGTATAAACCCCAGAGCCAAGTGCCAGAGGTTTATGAGAGGCTGGCTGGCAGCCGGAGATGTCAGGAGACAGGGACCTGGAACATCTTCAGAAGTTCAGGCTCTAAGGGTGATGGGATTTTTTGCCTTCCTTGGTCCTCAACAAATCCAGACCCTGGCACCTCTTTTGACATAGTACAGTGTGCTGTCAGATTGAAAACATTCAGAAAAAAAATTACCAATAGGGCTGAAAAGAGCCATGGCTAAAGTTTCAACTCACTGCAATACCACAAGTCTGGTACTAGCCTAGTAAACACACACTGGGTCTCATGAAAATTCTTGCAACAATATCAAGTCAATCAAATTCTGGCTTAAAACATGACTCGGACAAAAAGTGAAGACCAGAAATATGGAAGTGGGAAGAGGAAAGCCACTGCAGAGCTACAATGCCTTATATACGCTTCATAAGGCAATCTGCGGTGCAACAAGGGTATTTGTGCTCAGCAAACCCGCTGCCTGCAGCATGTCCCATTTGTCATAGCACTGACTGGCTCAGAGCTAATTAGGAGAAACTCTCTATACAATATTCTCCTATGAGATTGTAGTCAAAGTGGCAAGCCTGTGTCACCATTTTTCCAGATTTCAGTACTGGTAACTATAGGAGACACACAATGCACTCTAAGGGTCCTGACTTCCCATATTTTTTCTCTCTAATAAAGTCAGCAAGGAAATTATCCAGAAATGCTCTGAATATAGCTGGAATTTACAATCAAGGTTAGAAGACATAGCCACTTTTTAGTGAACTAGATTATCTTTTAAATACCTACCTTCTTGTGCAGATATATACTCCTGAGTCTTCTAGCCTCACTGGTAAAAACCAGAGTGCATTTCCTTTTGCCCAGATTCTTGAATCTTCATCTCTTCCTGATATCATGGTATTTGAACCATTTTTATACCATGTGATATTAGGGGTCAAGGCAGAGAAATCCAAATGTTTGTATCTGGGGGAAGGGCATTTCAGAACCACAGGTTCTCCATGAAGTTCATAGTAGTGTTTGAAAAACACGGTGTGATCTGGGCAGTTTTCTATACAAATCAGAGATATTTTTGCATTACTGTCAGAGAGGAACATTTAAAAGAATGGTGAGGAAAACAGAAGGAAAAAGACAAATGTACACTTACCTGTGTTCTTGACTTGCTGGAGTCTGAAAGCAGATGCACCTACTGTGCACGTCACCAGGACAAGGAAGAGCCCATGCATTTTTTTCCACAAGAAATCAGAAGAAGAGGGCAGAAGGAAAATATTTTGAAATCTACAAGGAAGTTTATTACAAGACAGATTATATAATCAAAATACTCAACATTATCTGAAGAATTAACTGCTATTTTTCTCACTCCAGACCTGGGGAGCTTTGGTCCATCCTCAGTGAGCAGAAAGGTGTCTCCATCCCTAGTTTATGGAGGCTGAACTGTGGAACCAGAACATCTGGCTGGCACACACATATCACTTTTGGCCCTTCCCTTTCACTCCAGAAGATGAAAACAGCATACCACAAGATGCTGCTGTCCCCCCAGCTTTTCAGAGTGACAACTGTGGGTGGAAAAATCTAGCTCTGCTTATTTTGCAGTAAGATGTGACTGAGGCACAGGTCAGCTGCTTTGAGTGAACTGTAGTGTAGTAGCTTGGGGTGGACACAGGGGCAAAGTAGGCCAGCTAGTGTGAATCAGGCTGCAGGAAGACTTCCTGCTACAAGCAGTGCCAAGCTTTCTTGTCTCCAACAAATATTTCTGTTGGGACAGAAAACATTGACTCCTATGGCATGTATACCCATCTTGCTGGTGGTGCACAAGTTTTCAGCATGGACACTATTACCATCTGTTCTAAAAAAAAAGATAAAAAAAACCCTGAACAAGCTGTTCTGAAAATCAGACAGGGTGGCTGCTAAGGGAAAACAAAATTCTCCTCTGCCAGTCATTCATCAAGTGTCATCTGTATGGACATGAAATGGGCATGGCACTGAATGCTTCTGCTCTGCCACGAGACCACAGCTCCTGCTACTCTCTTGATTGATTATGCTTTACCTTGATGTGCCATGGGCAAAAATATATAAAACATGCTGGATAGAGGCACTAGTTTATGCTCTGTATAAGGAACTTATGAGAAATACAGTACACATATCCACATGATACGTTATACTATTTCCATTTTATATACAGAAATGGAAATTGCATGCATTTAACATTACCTTAAAACTATGATGAATATTAAATGACTATACAACTATTTCAAATCAAAATAAAATGAAATATTTCTACCAATATAACAAAGACATGTTCATAGGTATACACCTTTGGACATCTTTTTGTATCCCTTCATGCTCATACTTCCATAGTTTTAATCCAAATTTCTTCCTGTTCTAGTAGTTGTACTTACCTGACATCTGATTGTTTGACTACAATAAACTATTTCCAGATTATTGTCATCTGTACAACACCACAAAACCAACCTCTTGCTCAATAACACTCTTTCATAACCATGGGTCATACTCTTAGGTCTGCCTGGGTTTCCAGGGAATTGGTATGGAGCTCTAGCCTCTCAGCTACACCTGAACCAGATGCTAGAGGCATTAACAAGCCCCATGGTTCACATCAATACCCTGTAGCGGGTGAGTTTCTCTCTCTTCAGATCCTGACAAAAATACTTGGTTATTCTGTTCAGAGCCTTCTGGTCCCTTTGGTTTAGTAACTAACAATCTCCATAAGCCATTTGAGGGTTTAGGGAAGGTTTTCATTCCCAGATTTCAATCAGATTCACTTACCTGTGTTTCTGTAGTCTTTCAGCCATAAGCATCTCACAAAAAGAAACTATCAGACTGAAAATTCCTGGTGAGGATCTTATATAGGGTTGAGCTCAACACACAGCGGAAATTTGTCTCTCATTGCCCAATCAGATTTGTGTCAAAACCAAGTAACGTTTTAGACCCAACTTTCTTTCCTTCCGTAGAGTGAGGATAAGAGAAACAGAGGCACAGGCAGATAGAAAATATGTGTTTGGATTTCCCAAAAAAAGGGGAAATGACTGCTAAATATATGACTAATTTTCCCCTTTTCTGACGAATGGTAGCTTGCATACACTCATGTCTTCACATGACTATTTCACACACTACCTCAAGTAAAAAATTTCATGGGTAACAAAAGGTGCACTGCAGCATAGTCAGCAGCTAAATAATTGCAGTTTTCATATTTTGTGGTTTATCAAACTGTTCATAAATCTTCTGTGATTTCCCAGATCCCTGGTGAATCACAAATGTGCTGATTCCCCTTTCTTCTCATAACATCCATTTTAGTGTGACAGCCTGTATTAAGGCTCTCTTGCAATGTGGTATAAAGAAGTAACAGCTAGAAGCAAATTATGGTTTCCAGGCTCATGGGGAGGAGTAAGAAAAGCACTATGAATTGTGGCAATTTTGGCCTTTTAGAAGAGGGTAATCAATTGAGGGACTGCAGTTCCCAGATAGACTAATATCCTCGGATACATCTAAGAAGGATCAACAATTTTCAACAGCTTTCTTCAGAAGGTTTCTGCCCTGGCTTTCTTTTTATCCATAAAATATTTTGATCTCATGCAGCAGTGTAAGGACTGCTCAGGCTTCAGTTGTTCTTCAAGTTTCAGTTGTTTATCTGGAGGTGCAAAAGTTTGGTTTAGAATAACTCAGGAAGAAAGGAAAGAGAGCAATAAATTTATATTTTTTTAGTAGATGTCTGCTGAGAAGGCCACGTCATTTTGCGGTTAGCTATCACTGAGTATTTATAAACAGAAATGTGCAAGTCTAGCAGCTATATATATAGAGAAACTCTCTTAGGGAAGCTGGTGTCGTTCTGTGGTTTCGCTCTGCTGATGATTCATTGATACAGCTCAAGATGCTGGAGCGTAGCTGTGAAATTCCTGACTTGAGGACCAGACTATTCCCCATACGTCTCACTCATTGCTCATCTCACTAGATAGATATTTCCCACACCAGGGCTACATGCAGTTCCTTGCCACAGTTGGGTGGATTTTGCTGTCCTTGGACATGCCAATAAAATAATCAAAATATCAAGAAATATCTAGTCTTCTGGAAGTTCCTTGCCACAGAAACTTTCAAAAGGCCTCTACAAGCAAGGTGTGTCTGTTATCCCTAGTCAATGGAAGGGGAAATGAAAATTCAGGCATCAATGGATGGATTCCACCATTTCTACAAGGGGCAGTTAATGTGCCAGCTTCTTGTAGCAGCTCCCAGATTTTGCTGCTTCTCCTGGAGGAATTTACTCTGTTATAGTGGCTCTGTGGCTGATAATTTTTTGCATCCAAGAACTGCAATCCCTTGGGCTTCATAATTTATTCTGTTATCCAGTTTGGCTAAGCAAACTTTGTGCAATTAAAAACTGAAGTAAATTTCTCTGGTTCACATAAGAATAAGGTGACAAGGTATTAAGAAATACTGAATGTTGAAAGCTGACTGGCAAGCAGATGCAAAGTAAACCACAACTATTGCACCAACACGTGTTCTTGGGTTATTGATATGAGCAAACCTGGTTTTAATAATTTATAATACCCTTGTGCACAGTTCCAAGATGGGGTCTTGAGGAGCAGAGAATAGGAAAGAAATGGAACTCTTCAACTCTGAGAATCACCAAATAACTGGGAGAGAAAGAGAAAAACTAAACAGAGGGATTAGCACAATGCACAACAGACTCCAAGAATACAAGAATTTGCATGCTTAGCCAGAGGAATAAGTGCTGACATACCCCAGTTGTGTATGACAAAGTGGGAGAAACAGAAGGCGATGTGCCAAGGGATCCACTTTGTCATGAGGGAGCGCTAGTTTGGCCAGAGCAGCCATGGCTGGGTTACAGATTGTCTCACCACTACAGGTTCCTGGGATTTCCAAAGACACTTTCACTGCGATAGAAAGCAGGCACACTTGAAAAATCATTATACTCGCAAGAGCTGGAAGGGTCAGAGAGGAGGAGACCCTCAGTGTAGAAATCAACAGGGTATAAGGGACAAAGTAACGTCTAGAGAGGCCCAGAGTATCTGTGCACAGGCACACAGACATAGATTGGTGAAATAAAGAAATTATTTCTGAAAAAGTGGGGTTTGCTGGATTTTATTTAAAGTAGAAAACCATCCCTGAGCACAGCCTACTTGATATATGATGCCATGTGGAAAAGCAGTGATGGAGTACTGTTGCAAAGCTGAGTTTGTTGAAAGCAGAAAAGTGGTATTGCTCTCCCTATAAACTGAACTGAGGAGGATAATCTAAACTACTAAATAGAGACAGTCTAAACATCAATGCATACCAGTGTATCTCTCAAATGACAATAAAAATAAAAAAAAAAATCTCTTACTGCTCTTCCTTCTCTTATGGATAAAACAGTGCATAGATACACTGAATGTTGATCAGGGATATGGTTCGGGTTAGGGATCAGAGAGTAAAAAAGCCTAGGGCTCCAGGGACACTGGGAATGGAAAAGGCGAGCCAAAAGGACCATAGTAGGGCCTCAAAATTGCTGCCCCTATATCTCTCTCACCTGGGCCATCCACAAAACCATTCAGTTTGGAAAAAACCTCTAAGATTAAGTCCAACCATCCCCAAGTGCCACATCCACACGGCTTTTAAACCCTTCCAGGGATGGTGATTTCACTACTTTCCTGGGCAGCATATTCCAAAGCCTGTCCATCCTTTCAGTGAAGAGATTTTTCATAATATCTAATCTAAACCTTCCCTGCTACAACTTGAGATCATTTCCTCTCATGCTGTCACTTGTTACCTGTGAGAAAAGACCAACCTGCAACTTACTGCTTTGAGATTCCTGCTTCTTTCCCTGCTACAGCCATCCTCCCTGCTGGGATGGAGCAAGCCCACAGCATGCAGCACCTGCCATGCCTTAGTGCAGGGCTCCAGGCAAGGCTGCAGCACCCACGGTCACTCCCACACCAGGGCTGGGAGATGGGGCTAGCTGGGAGCCAGCAATGCTGAGGAGAACAGCAAGCAGACGTTTCCCACAGCTTTGGTGTCTTCTCAGACCATAGGCAGTGAGTCAGCAGGGGCACTAGGGACATGCTAGGAAAAAAATGAACCTAAGACTGCTGACTAGCTTTTTCTTTTCCACCAGTTCCAAAATCATAGTGTTTGCTTGCAGTCATGATTAGTCTTTTTTATATATGAAAAAACATAATGTGCTCTCTGGTCTTTCATGTGAGAGGTGTTGAGGGATTTAAAAACACAGCAGTCATTACAAAAAGCCCACAGCAACAGCAGACAGAGGAGGAACTGTGTCCAGTTGAGGATCATGAAATCATATAGGGTTACATGAGCTAGAACGACATGGACAAAAGAAAATTTCTAAACCAGTTATGGTGCTTGGCTTAAGCAGCCAACCCAGCAAACAGGGAATTCAGAGGCAAAGAGAAAAACAGATGACAAAGATTTTTGTTCATAATTGCCTTTTTGTTGATTGAACTTAAATTTAGTAGGTAAAAAGTAACTTCATAGCTATGAAAAACAGTGGCAAACATACGGTCTGTGATAAAGGAAAAATTGAGCTGGTACCAATCATACATTATTGTTGGTGTACCAGGAGGTTAATATTAAACATTACTTTTTTATTACATGTTCCTGAATCAAGTATTTGTATCACCAAGAAGATGAAGTCATTTATGTAATACAGGCAGTAAATCTTCCATTTGTCTTGGATTTAGGCTCCTTCTGACACACAAGTATATTTCACACACTTGTTTTAAGAAACAGTCATATAAAATACACATAGCAGATCTAATTACCCAAGGTATTTGTTCTCTACTCCACTACATTAATGTGTAATTAATAATCACTGGATTTGGAGGGGGCTGGGGTGGGAGACAACACATGAAAGTGGATATGGTATAGAAACAGAGACAACAAATTTGCAGTCATACTTGGCATTCTCTCTTTGAGCTTGTCCTGTGTGTAGTGTCACAATGACCAGTAATTCTGACTGGCATCAAGAGTTGCTTAAGAAAGAATTGAGCAAGACTTGCTCTGGAGCTGTGAAATAATAGAAGAGAGGTTTACAAATAAATGAATAGCAAATAATTAGATGCAACATATACTGCTTCTAAATGAAGAGGCAGGGGAAGAACCAGTGTATGCAACAGCAGGAATTAGGAGAAATCAGATCAGTTCAGAAGAAATAGAACCAATCCCAACACCATTGTTCTAAAAAAGAAATACAAAAGCAACCAAGTGATGCTGCAAGACTATACGTGCTTGCAATAAAGAGCAGGTAGGCTCAGTCTATCTTTTTATCTTTTATCTGTTCAGTTGGTGGACACATACCATGAAGCACTGAAGAAGGTCAGATTTTGTATCATTATTCAGGTTAATGAACACATTTGTTTTAATAAAAACAGTTACCATCAGCCAAGCTTGAAGTGTTCTGTTACAACAGCTGACTACGTAACAAGAGTACAAATACACATGGGGTAACAAAACTGATCTTGGGAGGATTTCAGCCCTCATATGTCCTTACTTATGCCCTTCTCCAGCACATAATGTTCTGTACCAGGTTGAAAGGGAACTCATCATTTCAGCAACTGATTTTAAAGACTCTCTGAGGATTTTACAACAAAACAATATTGAATGTTATTTGTTTAAATCATTTCTATCAATCACATTTTGAAAAGAAAAAGATATTTTAACAATAGTAGTTCTTTGCTATGCAAATTATCTTTAATTACAAGCTGGAAGAGTTTTCATTCAGACTTAGTTGATTGGAAGGGTTTACCATTTGTAGGAAAATTTGGGTAACTTTAATGAAAGTTTGCAAGAAACTGGTGGG